CTCGAGAAACAAAAAGAAGCGTGGGAAGACCTAAAAAGAGATGGATAGACGATATAACTGCTGTAGCTGGAAAGCAGTGGATGAGAATTGCAAAAGATAGGGAAGCGTGGAAGCAATTGGAGGAGGCCTATGTCCAACATTGGATAAATGAAAGCTGAAGAAGAAGAAGTCTTTGTAGACTATCTTCATCCTATTCCTTTGTTAACGGTTTTGATGATTTCATCCATAATCAAATTGAAGAGCATGGGTTCAATAAATGCTCTTGTCTTATTCCGCTATCTATTTCTATAGCTTCTGTAAGTTGTCCATCCATTCTGACTTCCATTTTGTTGTTTTGGTAGATGTTTTAAATAGTTTTATAATATTTAGCGGAATTTCTATATTGTGCAGAAGATGGATTGCATCTTTAAGTCTAACTCCGTCAAACGCTTTCTTTAGGTCAATCAGACACATCAATGCTGGTCTATTATACTCTAGTGATCTATCAGTAATTTGTTTTATAACGAATAATGCATCTGTATACATTCTTCCACTACGAAAACCCTGTTGTTTATTTGCTAAACTTTTTAGCATTGTTGCATCTGTGCATAAGGATAATAATGGCAAACAGATGCTATTTTGGACCGAGTAGACATATGAGAAGTAGAAACTTAAGACAAAAAACAAAAATAACTATATACAAAACCCTTATACAGCCAGTGTTAACATATGGATCGGAGACATGGACCATCTCCAAGGCAGACGAAGACCTTCTGCTTATATTTGAACGAAGGATCCTGAGAGGAATATTTGGTGGCATCTGTGAAAATGGTGTTTGGAGGAGGAGATACAACTACGAGGTATACCACAGATATAAACAAATATTTGGTGGTAAAGACGTAGTATCTCTTATAAGAATAGGAAGACTAAGATGGAGCAGGACATCTAGCAAGATCACAGCAGAACAACCCTCCTAGAAGAATCCTTATGTCACAACCCGTGGGAAGTAGAAAAAGGGGTAGGCCAAAACTCAGATGGAAGGATGGTGTAGATGAGGATGGTAGAAAGATAGGCGCAGCAAACTGGCAACGGTTGGCAATGGATAGGACTGCCTGGCGTAATAGACTTGGGAAGGTCGAGGCTCTTTCATAGGGCTGTAGCACCATTGATGATGATGATGCATCTGTGCATTTATATTAAGTTCCTCATTTGTGGTAATTTCTGTTTCCGGTTCTAGCGTCGTTTGTTCTTCCTCCACATGGAGCTTTTTTAGGTAGTCAATCCACGTATCCTTTCCTATGTGTTTTGGTTCTCTTAGTTCCTTTACCTCCGTTCTTTGACCTCTTATGGAGCGCCATATTTCCTTTTGCAGACCGTAAACATCATGTTCTATTTCTTTCGAAAAGCGTTCCCAGCGATCATTTTTTTATTTTTCTTACAAGTACATGCGTTTCATTTCTAATTGTCTTGTAATTATGGTTGCCTCTTGTGCTTTAATTGACATGTATTTCAGGTAAGCTTTTTTCTTTTCTTTTTATATTTTTCCTTCACTTCTGTACAAAACCATGGAGTTCTTCGCCTTGGGAACGATATATTTTTATTTATATTTATTTCACAAAGAACTTCCTTAGCCGAGGCTAAGAAATTAGACTTAATTTTTGCCTACCTTTCCTCGATTCGCACCACTTTCGGTAATATATGTGTTTCTGCTTTTTTGTGTGCTTAACCTTTTGTATTACTCAATATGTTCTTAGATTCTGCTACATTGTTTCAATATGGCGATTGTTCTATATTCAATGTCGACTGTATAAAAAAACCTATATACAAACCCTAATAATTTGGTAATCTTCAGCTTTTATGAAAAACGCTCAAATAAGTCAATTTATTTTTAAAGTTTCACCCATTCTGATCAGTATCATTTAAGAAGAAAAAAACAAGTAATCCTATGTGGCATGTTATACAAATCACGTGAAAGCTTTTGTCTTACTCAATATTTTTCTAGAAACAAGAAAGAGTTATTATTTCACTTAGAGTTTAAGATTATTTTCACAATTTAATGGTCGCCATTTTGAATGGAGCGACAAATTCACAAAAATAAACTAAAAGTTTACTGAGTACCTGTCAAATTACTGTAGATACCACATAAATGTTTTTGAGACGTCAAAACATAAATGAAGATATATTAAAAATGAGAATAACTTCTTCTTTTTATGAAGACATGACTCGGTCTGTTTTTCAATGTCCCTCCAGTAAGTTGTCGCTCCAATGTTTTTTTAGAAGTAGTACATATTATTTTTTTTTACAACTGTCCTTGTACAACTGTCGCTTTTTTACATTGTACAAAAATAGAGCTATTATTTGGCATATTCCATTTACAATAATTATACAAAGTTCTGCTCTCCCGCCATTTAAACACTTAAGTGATTAAAATAACATAAATACTATGCACAGATGTTCAGTATCCAAAAATGCATTTTGTATGGTTCAAAAAATCGATGAGAAGAGCGGATTTTAGATGAGCGTTGCATATGTTGTTGTTGGCAGTTGCTCTTGCACACTTTATGACGTATTCAATATAATCTAAGAGATTCTATGACAAGAGCAATCATACACTGTTAATTTCGTATCAAATGGCAAATGGACGATAGATTTATCTCAATTTTAAACATTAGAACAATATTAGTATAGACAAAGATGGTAGTAAAGATTATACTGTGAGAAAGTATCGTAATTCTAATAAATGTATCACCACACGAGTTATGTACTATAGTTTTTCTTTGAACAATTTTGAAAATATGTTTTTCAGTACTTTAATTAGTTTATTTTAAATTTTAAACCAAGCAGAGCAAGTGGTTTGCTTTTGCAAGAAAAACATACACAGCGATTCATGCTGTTTTTCATTGAGCAGTAGATAAAAAGAACTTCAGAGCGTACAACTAAACATATTGGTCCTTCGAGCCGAATTTGAACCAGTTGGCACTTTTAATATTGGGTTTCTACTTTTTGCAACAGTATTTGCAAAACCACAACACTTTTGGTATGAATTTTTGCCAAACTTGGTCTACGCTAAAAAATTCTATTAACATTAATTTTTTTTAGATTTAACAACATCAATTGTAACGAATAATGGCAGTAATTTTTGACATAGAAACTGCTTTCGATACAATATGTAAGTCGGTTATTAAAAAAAAAACTGGTAGAAAATAATCTTACGGGCAACTATATCACTGAAAATGGTGTACCCCAAGGTTCTACTTTGAGTCTCTACCCTTTTTCTACTAGTCATCAAAAAAGCCATAAAACTGGCTTCAGGTTCTTCCAATAAATCCAAAATAATTAAATGCTCCGGGATATACAACAGGAAAAATGACACTAAACGGAACAAATTTAGAGTTAATTGATCATTACAAGTTTTAGGACCAACTGTCGATAACAAACTCACTCAGTGTCGTCATATCGATAAAATAAAAGGCAACTGTTTAAGAAGAATGAAAGTGTACTACTCAAAATATATCGAGCTATAATCCTATCCAAATTAGACTATGGTTGTATAGTTTACTTGTCCGCATCCAATAATTTATTTATTTAATTGTCCGCATTTAACAATCTTAACTCTGTTCACAACACTGCTCTCCAAATCGGCTTAAGAGCATTTCGATCCAGTCCCGCTGAAAGTCTCTATTGCGAATCTCATGAACTCCCACTTTAGATTCGGAGGCAGCAACTATTCCTATCTTAAACCAGCAGAATTTTATTGAATCCAACAATCCCAATCCTAGAACCCTTGTGCCAAGACACGAAATAATCTCAAACACTTGCATCTATAACAATCAGAATTCCCGCCTTGATCAGAATATCTCCTTTTATAAACACTTCCCTCTGTAAATTTAATAAGCAACAAACAAATGTCATTTTTCAACAAGCTGTCAAGGATATTATGAATACATCCCAATATGATAAGGTGTTTTATATCGATGCATCCTGAAACTCAGATGGAGTTGGCTGTTCTGTCACTACAGTTAATACAGTATTAGAACAATACCGAATATCCAACGAATGTAGGGTGTTTTCAGGAGAACTCTTCAGTATTTCAAAAGCTTTTGAGTTTCCTTTTGACGATCATCAAAGTGTAGCTCTGCGCACGGATTCCTTATCCGCAATTCATTCGTTAGAAAATATTTTCAACCAACATCACCTAGTGCAAAAAATACTAGAATCGATCCATCTCCACACTTCCCGAGGGACTTCAATAACAATAATATGGGGACCATCTCATATCAGCACCACTAACAAAGGAAATGAGATGCCTGTCAGCGCTGCAAAAGAAACATCTACATCCAATTTACCCCTCTACAACATACAGCTCCAACAAGACATAAAATCAAAATTGAAAAGGAATATCCAAGGCAAGTGGCAGGAACTTTGGATCACCAAAGACAAAAGATCAGAGAAATACAACCTAAAGTTAACAGCTATTTGGAAGATTGAGGATAGGCCACCCACGTTTGACACTCGGTCATCTTATGTCCTCTACAGACCCACAGTTTAAAAGAACTTCTGAACTGTTCAAACCGACTCAAGAGCCTAAATAGACTTCTTAAAGACTATACAATTGTTTAACAAAATATAATTTACATAATAGTGTTATTATTTACTATTGTAAACTCTGTATCATCACTCTGTAGGTACTATTGTAAACCTTTGCTTTCGTGTCAATGACCAAAGATGTCGAGACACGTTAATTCGAAGTAAAAAAAAACGTAACGAAATTATTTAATTACAGAAATTGATTAGAAACCTGAATCTTTGTGTCAAACAATATTTAAAAAATTAAGATTAATGGCCAATTTACCATTTTATTCGAAATAAACAATGCCTCAAAAACATATTAGCTTTTTTAAAACGTGATCAATATATCCAACTTTCAAAAAACCGGTTAGTTCGATAAAAATTAAAAACTATTTGATTTGAAGACTTTGTTCTTGACCACGCCAGTTGAAATAAACGTTAGAGAGGTGGATAGAGAGGTAACGTGTGTTTTTAATGATATATACAACTATTAAAAATTAGTGGAGCTAAAACATCTTTTTATATTCTTAGGATACAACTGCGTCAAATTAAAAACGTCTCATAAAAATGGATTATTCGAGTTCATACCGTTTGTTCCTCCAACCTGAAACATAAGAGTGAATTAATACTTTGTTTATTAAACCATTAATATTTATGTTAATAAATTATCACCCTTTTTGTGTAAATAACACCTCATGTTAAAATATGCGTTGTATAAAATGTCTCCTTGTTTGTCCTATATAGACATAAATAATTTGGAAATATAAAAACATACCTTAAAAGGATTTTGGGTCCATCCGTTGGTTCCGTTAACGGCAAAAGGCACAGCTTGAGGCGGAAAGGCTCCTACTGGATGGAAATCCTGCATGTAGCCATTTGTTTTCATTATATCTCTAAATGGATTAACTAGTTTTTGTTGTAACGGTGGATTTAGGTTGGACCAATTAATGTCACTTGAATCGTTATTGTTAAATGGATTTGAGACTAAGTTGGATGTATTGTCTTGGTGCAAAGGGAAAGTACCCATAAACTGACCTAAAAGAGAGACAAATTGTTATATTATATTAAAGAATATAGACGTATATTGAAGGACAGTTCAAATGAGTGATTTGGTTACGGTTATTATACTTCAAGACAATCCTTAAGAGGGTGACTGCATAAACTCAAAATCGTCGACCGTAGGCTTAAAACCATCATAAAAGATATCGTTACGGGGAACTGGGGAAGTAGTACGAACGGAGCTATTTATTTAACTTATACATCCACGCTTAATCAAAATTTCGATGCCATTGATTTGCAAACTTTTTGGTTTCTTTCACAATAAAATCTTTTGTCTTTGCCTCCACAAATCTTCTGCCTCCACAAATAAGGACGTGATTTTATCAACGTGATGAAATCACGTCCTTATTTGTGGGATATAGTGAGATATTTAGTATTTAATTCCTCCAAGAAAGAGATGCATTTTTGGTGTCGCTGAACTCTGTTTCCTCATCTTAAGCTGTTTACTATCTGCACCACACAGTTTTCATAGCATCGTTGATTTTAATTATCTTTCCGCAGAGAGCCTCTTGATGGATAATGCAATGAACCATATCACAGTTAACATCATTTTGAAGCATGTTCATAATTTCTTTAAATTATTCCATTTAATAAATTATTTTCACGCCGCCCATGCCTGCATATCTTCTTCAAATAACCGACACTATCGAGCGATTCGTTACGCCTTTTTTTAACAAAGAAACAACTTCGCCAAATGTTCTTCTCTGCTTTTTATCTTGTTTTGGTACATAAAAATCTCTCCTAATAACAAAGGAAAAATGTCTCTATTGTGAAATCTCCGAGCTGCCTTCTCAGAAAAACAGAAGAGTTGTTTTTCGTAGAAAGCTACTTTCCATTGGTAAAAACTACGAAAATGAACCCCAGTAGCGTAGCAATTTAATGTCAATTTCGCATGGCATCCTTCAGCCAATATCCCCTCTCTATTTTCAACTTTCGCTTGTCTAAGCCCTTCTAAGTTCACAATCCGATGTTCATTTCCAAGTTGGTTCCTGTGGCAAGCGGTCTTATCTTCAACAATCGGCGGTAAGTGGATTTTCAATTCACCCTTATTTATCTTTATACAGTGTGTCTTATATTAATTATTTTCTCTTTTGCCAAACAGACGCCTTCCAATTGAAGTCACTTCTGTTTGCCGTTCAGATTTTATCGTTCAGATTTTACCGTTCATATTCTACGCTACATCGTTCAGATTTTACCGTTCAGATTCTACATTGTTCAGATTCTACACCATTCTTCTACTACTCTTCTCTCACCGTATCGTACTACCTTGGTTTAACTGCCTCTTTTCGTCGGCCTAAGGTAATCTAAGGGATTACGTTAAGAAGACCGCAATTCTTTGTGGCTGTCATCCCAACTACCTGTTGTACGGACCGAAGTCAAGTGCCTTATTGAGGGCGTAATACCATTATTTTGAATACACCTGTTTTGTGAGTACCTATAATTTTTATTGACTAAACTGTGATAACGAAATCTTTAGAAGTTGATTTATGACTCCAGTTCAGTGTACCTTCTTATTTATGGAGGTTTAGTTTGACTGAGTATTTTATAAAAATACAGGATAATATATACGTATAAATAAAGGGCAATTTATTTTATATGTAGATTATATTTCTGATAAATTTTATTCTTAGATTTGAAGTGATCACGATCAAAAACCTAGTAACTTCATATTCAGGTATCCTCAAGGCGTAAAATTCACTTGCTTGCCAAATATTAACGTAGATATAATTATAATGTTCCTTGCCTTTTTCTAATTCTTGAAGATACTAAATTATTTATAACTATTTTTCAAAGAGATATTTTTTGTTTGTAATTAATAATAAGTTGCGCAATAATCATGCCATTTAACTATCCAATAAAATTTGGTATAGTACATTTACTTTAACAAATATACCTAAATATAATTTTGTTAAAGATCTATTTGCTTTTTATTTCTTTTATATTTTTGTATATAATTTGAATTTATATTTTTGTGTTTCTCTTCCAGGCATTTTTTATTGAATTATATTATTATTTGTTTGATCGTATATTTTGTGTATGTGTCGAAATATTAGGAGTGTACCGCATAATTCCGATACCTTTTCTCTCACGGTTTACTTTATTCTCGCGTGAGTTCTCTAGCTGTACCTTACCTTTCTCGTCATTCTTTTCTATGTGCCTTAAGGTTTCCCCGTTCCTCTAAAAATAGGGTGGTGCCCAAATAACTTTTCTTCTCTTATATCTTCTCTTCTAACTTCTTGTCTCTGTGTTGTAAGTACTTTTTTAATTGATCCGTGATATTTGAGCTGTAACAAGAACCCCGACCAAGATACCTCTACCAGACTGAAGCCCGAGCCTAGTACCGTTCTTTGTGTAACCCCCAATCAATCATCAAGAGGGTACAATTTTATCGCAAAAGTCCAGAAATTCCCGTTATGCGTCCCGTCATTGCTTTTGCTCCGTCGGTACCACTAGAGCACTTTTGAATTCCTCCTATATTTTTCACAGCGTCACTAACTGCTTCAAATATATTTATACCTTTGGTCCCGTCTTCAATGTGGTGTAGTCTTAGAAATTCCTCAGTTTTATAATTTATTCGTCTTCCGGGTTTGGACCGTGTCATTTGTGAGTGACCCAAAAGTGGGTTCATATCGACGTTTCGCTACAATTGTATGTAGCTTCTTCAGGAGAACAAAGAAAAAGAAATCAAAAGACAGGAAGATGGGTAGTTAGCAACGGTAACTCAGTTACTCAACGCAACCAGAGGCGAATACTAACTACCAAGATGGGCATTTGGTCACAGTAACTCAACTACTCAACGCAGCCAGAGGTGAAAACCAAATGCCAGGACAAGGATTCACGTCCAACAGCTCAGAACACTAAGGCGTCGAGAGGCGGGGAGTGAATCCCAAGAGTGAATCGGCTTCAATCAATATCAACAGATTCGCCCAGGGCTATGGAGTAGTACAAAAAATCACGAACTGTGTTGACCATTTTTTTAAATACATGCGTATTCAGCTCATCAACTCTTCTAGATAGAGTTTGATGGGAAACTGAAACACAATCAAAATTTTTGGCCATCTTTTCAACTCCAAAGGATGGCGCCATTTTAACGGCACACCACTTTTCTTCGAAAATTTTGTATTTTTTAGCACTACTCATTCTGAATTTAACATTCAATTTATTCGCCACTATTAATTCAACAAGACACGTGCAGCTGACTGAAGCTAAATGCCCGCTCATCGGGAGTGGTTGTTCACGATTAACTACTTTCTTAAGATTAAGGAAAGTGGGACAGGCTTGGAACAGGTAAAAGTTCAATCAATGGCAATATTTTTGAAATGTGTCTGCGGGGGCCGCAGTTTAACGAGCCTCGGCCGCATGCGGTCCGCGCGCCTTAGTTTGGACCACACTGACTTAAAATATAAAGCAGTGAAATAAAAGCATTAAAAAAATTAGGTAAGATATTGAAGTTTTATGGAACTGCAGAAGGTCATTTTGACCTCCAATAGGAGCATTATCAACTGCTTGCTACAGTTTGTTAATGATAAAATTTACTTGAGCCCGATCTAGTGAGTATCACGATGGTGTCTGAGTGCTATAAACCACCATATTATACCACCATTCTGAATACTTTTGTCACGGTGCTTTATGATCTGGTCTGCTCGTTATAGCCCCTTGGTTTCTTAGCAACTCTCTTATGAAATGGGTGATGGTAGATTTGCAGACAACATTGTTCTGATTGCTAATAATCCTGCAGAACTACAAGAACTTATAAGCGACCTAAATGCAGCTAGCAATGAAGTTGTCCCCAAAATGAACTTGACAAAAAGAAAAACCAGGTACAACGAGCTAGTGGATGTCCAAGATGTAACAATAAATACTGCACTTGAGACAGTAGACGAGTATTTATACCTGGGACAATTAATACATAAATCTGACACCTTACTTCCAGAAATCAACAGAAAAATGAAACTAGCTTGGACATCTTTTGGTAGAAATGCAGTTATATTTAAATAGAAGATGCCAATCCACCCGAAAAAAAGCATTCGATCAGTGTATACTAACAATCATGACATACGGCTGCGAAACTTGACAATAAAAGAAAGACATAATATCGAAACTCAAAATCACTCAAAGGTCAATGGAGCTATGCATGCTAGGCATAACAAAGAAAGATCGAAAAGACAGACAGATCAGACAGAAAACCAAGGTTATTGATGTAATCCATAGATTTAAATCTTTAAAATGGCAGTAGCTATGACATAAGGAATCAAGCCGGTACAACATGGCACAGAAAAGCGAATTTTAGACATTCGTAGGCAGATATGAAGAATGAATATGTTAGGAAAGCTATACCATAATCGGTAGAATATGCTGAGAATGATGATAATGATGATATATTTTAAGCAAAATTTATTTATAAACTTACCTGGGTTGTGGGATCCAAAAACGGAAGGCTGAGGCGAAGGTGAACTATTTACTGAGCCTGTAGGTATCGAAGATCCAGTCGAGCTGTTACTCCAATCCAAGCTACCGTTCTTTTGAGACTTAAATTCGTTATCTAAATCTTTAAGAGCAGCATATCTGTCTTCTGATGGAACTGACAGTGTAGTGTTCAGAGAATTGTTCAGTGGGGCAACGGGGGTAGGCTGGTTCCAACTGTTATTCATGTAGTTGAATGGAGCTGGACTTTGCAGATCTACGAAACCAAAGGAATTAATTGGAGCAGCTATTAGTAACACGAACATTGATCAGCTGTTCATTTTTTTTATTGTAATAACCCCACAAGGTAGCGAAATGTTGAAAAAAAATTTTGTGGGTGTCGAAAATTTTAAAAATTATGAACCCGTAAAGTTTTTTTATACAGTGCGCATTCAAAGACCAAACAAACAATTTTCTGAATCATAAAACTCGGATTAATATTTTTTGCACTTCACACGAAGGCACCTGTAGCTTGTTTTTATGATATCCTATTGACGTACCTATTACTGACGAATATTTTAAAAGTCTGCAAAGTATTTTCTAAACTATAAAACTTGGTTTAATAAATTTTGAGTAACTAAACTCAGGCATCTGTTCATTTTTTTTTTCTGGAAAATTTCTCTGGCACAGTCAATCAGTCAATCAGTCAGACTTGTTTTTGTCTGTTTTTAAAGTCGACTAAATTTTAATTATTATTTATTGCAGTTTTTTTACTTACACTTACTTACATTAATGTGTGTTTACTGTGCAACTACTAATGCATTTGTTAACCTATTGGTTAGTAAGTCTGTACCCTCTAGATGATTGATTGGCGGTTACACAAAGAACGGTACTAGGCTCGGGCTTCAGTCTGGTAGAGGTATCTTGGTCGGGGTTCTTGTTACAGCTCAAATATCACGGATCAATTAAAGAATTACTTACAACACAAAGACAAGAAGTTAGAAGAGAAGATAAGAGATAAGAGAAGAAAAGTTATTTGGGCACCACCCTATTTTTAGAGGAACACGGAAACCTTAAGGCACATAGAAAAGGATGACGAGAAAGGTAAGGTACAGCTAGAGAACTCACGCGAGAATAAAGTAAACCGTGAGAGAAAAGGTATCGGAATTATGCGGTACACTCCTAATATTTCGACACATATACTCAAAATATACGATCAAACAAATAATAATATAATTCAATAAAAAATGCCTGGAAGAGAAACACACAAATATAAATTCAAATTATATAAAAAAATATAAAAGAAATAAAAAGCAAATAGTTCTTTAACAAAATTATATTTAGGTATATTTGTTAAAGTAAATGTACTATACCAAATTTTATTGAACAGTTAAATGGCATGATTATTGCGCAACTTATTATTAAGTACAAACAAAAAATATCTCTTTGAAAAATAGTTATAAATAATTTAGTATCCTCAAGAATTAGAAAAAGGCAAGGAACATTATAATTATATCTACGTTAATATTTGGCAAGCAAGTGAATTTTACGCCTTGAGGATACCTAAGCATGAAGTTACTAGGTTTTTGATCGTGATCACTTCAAATCTAAGAATAGAATTTATCAGAAATATAATCTACATATAAAATAAATTGTACGTTATTTATACGTATATATTATCCTGTATTTTTATACTCAGTCAAACTAAACCTCCATAAATAAGAAGGTACACTGAACTGGAGTCATAAATCAACTTGTAAAGATTTCGTTATCACAGTTTAGTCAATAAAACTTATACTCACGAAACAGGTGTATTCAGATAATGGTATTATGCCCTCAATAAGGCACTTGACTTCGGTCCGTACAACAGATAGTTGGGATGACACGCCCACAATAAATTGCGGTCTTCCTAACGTAATCCCTTAGATTGTCTTAGGCCGACGAAAAGAGGCAGCTAGACCGGAGTAGTACAGGTAGTTGAGATAAAATGAGGGTGACTGATGATCGAGGTGAACGAACGTAGCGGTGAATGTGTGAATAGTGTACACGTATGAACGGTGGAAACTATGAACGGTGTAGAATATGAACGGTGTAGAATATGAAACGGTGTAGAATATGAAACGGTGTAAAATCTGAACGGCAAACAGAAGTGACTTCAATTGAAAGACGTCTGTTTGACAAAAGAGAAAATAATTAATATAAGACACACTGTGTAAAGATAAATAAGGGTGAATTGAAAATCCACTTACCGCCGATTGTCGAAGATAAGATTGCCACAGGAACCAACTTGGAAATGAACATCGGATTGTGAACTTAGAAGGGCTTAGACAAGCGAAGGTTGAAAATAGGGAGGGGATATTGGCTGAAGGATGCCACGCGAAATTGACATTAAAAAGCCGGGCTACTGGGGTTCATTTTCATAGCTTTTACCAATGGAAAGTAAACTTTCTACGAAAAACAACTCTTCTGTTTTTCTGAGAAGGTAGCTCGGAGATTTCACAATAAGGCCTTTTTCCTTTGTTATTAGGAAAGATTTTTATGTACCAAAACAAGATAAAAAGAGGGAGCATTTGGCGAAGTTATTTCTTTGTTAAAAAAGGCGTAACGAATCGCTCGGTAGTGTCGGTTATTTGAGGAAGATATGCAGACATGGGCGGCGTGAAAATAATTTACTAAAAGGAATAATTTAAAGAAATTATGAACATGCTTCAAGTCACAGGATCTAGCGGGCCATTTAATTGTACCTAGGGTACTTATCAGTCGATCAGGAAACGTTTGATTAAGGAAGTCAATAGTTGCTCTAGAGTTGTGAGCCGAATAGCCATCCTATAGGAAATAAACCATCCTGAAAATTAATGGGAAGGCGTCGAACTGAAGTTGTAAATATTTGGGCCCGTTTAGGATTCCATCGATAAAAAATGGACCAAAAATATGATCGCCTAACATCCCAGTCCAAACATTTAACTTTTGCGGATGCTGCGTTCGCACTGCAACACTGAGGTGCTTATTTTTCCAACAATAATACCTTGTAACGGATAGATGTTTTTTATGTAATGAAAATGAAGACTCGTCAGAAAATAAAATATTTTTAAAAAAGTGTACATTTACATTCTGTTTATCTAACATAAATTCTCATACTTCTTGTGTTGGTTGTATCTTCAAACAGTGATACCCATTCCTTTTAAGAACTTGCTGGACAGTTCGAGCATTCACGTTAACTTCCCTAGCAATTTGTACACTATTGCAGGGTTCACTAGCTTCTACAAAAGCACAAATATCAATATCCCTGTTTTGACGCTTCTCATCGACAGGTCTAACACGTGATTCATTACCTTCACGACACTTTTTACAACTGTTTACACATCCCGAAGTTTGAAAATGTTTAATGGTATTTTTAACTGTTGTAACACTTGGTGGGGGTCTATTTTCGAAGGCAACAAAAATAAATCAATTACTTCGCACATTTTATTAATTATTTTATTTGTTTATTCTTTCAGAACCTCGTTTAAAATTTTTAATGCCAATGTGGCAATTACGACAATTCGTACCTACTGTGAAATAAGTTCTCGGGAAGAACGGCATTGAGAATTTAATACTCGACGTATCGGGACCCATTTTGGAGCCATTATCAAGAGGGGTACGGTTCTGTTCGAGTTCAATCTGCCTACTCTCTTCACTATATACAGTGTAGGAAAGAGTTTATGGTCGGTATGGACCATACGTGAGATGGAGTGAGAAACAGCTGTTTAGAAAGAGAGAGGTATATTAGGTCCGCCCTTTATATCGCCAAACATGCATGCGTGGAAATAATAAAAAAGGGGAACTTCAACGTTGCCAAACTTATTGGATTTATTTGACCTGTTGTTTTTTTTTGTATTTGAACAGTGTTATAAGATAATCCAATTTGGGCGAAATTGATTTAAATGGCAGCTTACTGTTTTTTTATTGGGAATATGCCACAAGTTTACTTTACAATAAGTGTAATATAACATTTTGATTTCCACTTCGGAAATCGTTTTATATAAATAAAAGTTATTAATGTTTCGTATTTTAAGTATGATTTCCGAATTAAAAATCTAAACAGCAAAATAAGCTTATTTTAAAGTCACATTGTGCCTTATTCCCAATATAAAATAATAAACTGCATATAATAACGCCACATTAAAAAATATTCATACACAATAATGATTTGGCAATGTCCGTCTGGTCTGGTTTGGCCGACCGAGTAACGAGTAGTAGAGGTGGGTCGTGGTAGTTTTATCGTAAGAGCGTAGGCACAAAATTTCGGGCCAATATTTTTTAAATGCATTAATTTTTTGCGAATCTTGAGAAAACTAATAAATATTTTTGAAAAATTTAAACGCAGAATGAAACAATACATTATTACCGAGGGCCGAAAGTCCCTGAAAACTTCTATAATGTTTATTTTAATAATTTATAGGGATGAAAAAAAAATAGTGTGATTTTTAATTTCAAATATCTCATTCAAAAACCTTTTTGTTTATTCTAAGGGACTTTCGGTCCTCGGTAATAATGTAATCTTTTATTCTGCATTTAAATTTTTCAAAAATATTTGTTAGTTTTCTCAGGATTCCAAAAAAAATGAATGCATTTAAAAATTTAAATTTTTGTAAACAAGTAACTATGCTTGTTTAAAAGTAGTTTTAAGTAAGAAAGTACCTACATAAACAAACATAATGGCTATTATTGTTTATGTGTGTATTTATTGAAGTGAAAGAAACTAATAATATATTTATAATAACTTGAAAAATAAACTAAACAATACAAATAGTAACTCGTACTTACATTTACATTACACGTTATTATTAAATCGCGAATAGTCTAAATTGACATTAAAAAACATAAGTTTTTCAACTTTACTTCTTATTAACCGTCTTCTTTTTTTATTTCAAATTAAACCAGATTTTGAACATGTGTTCACATTTACAATACTTTATGAATATAGTGGTTAAGTTAGGATATACATAGCGATGGTTTTTCCACCGTTGTAATGGACTCTCGATTCAGGTGTACGTGTAGATGAGCCATCTCCAATTAATTGATCAAAAATACACCATGGATTTAAGTCATCTTTATTGGTTTCTTTTTCTTGTACTGGTTGATTTTCAATAGTACAATCTTCTTGTTCGTTAATTATAGAAGTAACCAGCTTCTTAACTTTTTCTTTAATTTTTTTATCTTCATTTTTATCAGAAAAACCCTGCATTTTAAATGGTGAATCCATAAATGTACGTAATAACAATGTGCCACTCTGTT